GAACTCCTCAGAGGGGCTGGCTGCATCCATGTCCTCCTGCCCCATGGAAGAAAAACAGCAGGATGTTTGCCACAGACTAGCAAAGTCTCAGCTCCATGGAGGCACTGATGCTGGGACAAAGCTGCGGGGTGCCTGACTGGGAGCACTGGTTTTGAACACGAGGCCAGGCCAACGCACATGGCTCTTGCAGTGGCTGGCAGAGAACAGGCAATGCCTTAGCTCAAGGCAAAACATCTAAAGAACTTGTCCAAAACGCACAGCACTCTCAGATGCCTGCCCTTCCTTCTGGGGCCTTTTCTAACAGATCTAGTATATTAGCACCACAAAGAGACCATCAGTGTTAATTTCCGGGTTTGAAATATAGAACATCCCTCTTCCAGGATGGTACAAATGTGTAACAACTTTGAAGAGTGGGGTTGGGCAAGTAGAGTCTAATGAAGGACTAAACAAAGGCAGGTTTCCAAAGGATTTGTAGCTTTTTAGTCAGCTCATGATTTGACCAAGTTATACTACAGTTTTCTGCTGCATCTAGATTTATTCCTTCTCTCTTCCCTTAAAATCCTCCTTCCCCAGAGTATTTTGGTGACAGTAGGAAAATGATGCACTTCCATGCAGACCGTGACACAATCAGAGATGAACTCACCCTGCTCACCCTTCCTCTGCTAATTACGACATTTTCTTGGAGATCTCCACCACTGCCAAGTTTGGCTGAGATTGGTTTAAGTCACAGGGGGTAAAGACACACATGGTGAATGGTCACATACACCTGTTTCCATAGGAAACCAGGCTGAACAGTTACTTCCTTCCACATGAAATCCTCAGAGCAGAGGGCTGAGGAGAGCCAGGAGCTCTAACCCCTCTTACAGCCCTCCCCTCCCACCAGCAGCTGTCTGCACACCACAAGTTGTAACTACTTGTTAGACAGACCCAAACAACCCAGCTCCAGAACCAACGGCCGTGGTACTGCGACAGGCTCTGATGGCAATCAGGGGCTGATGGAATTCTGCACACACACCTGACTGGAGGCGCATGGAAAGAGCTGGTTGTTTCCTATTTTAGGCCTGTACAAAGCCAAGCAACCTGCACCGTGTCCCATCCACGCTGCATAAGCACTGCTCACTACAGCCTAGCAGTCCTCCTCCAGCAACAGCCACCTCTGAGCAGGGGACACTGGCCCTCCAGGCGCAGGAATCCATTATTTGCTCTGGTGAGGGAGGAGGTGGCCGCGACCAGCCTGTCGCCAAACCCTCCTTATACCAGATTCACACTTCCTCTCACACCACACCCACCTTCACAGGAAGCAATTACACAATGAAAACTACTCTAAGGGAGTGAAGTATTTGCTGTCTAGCAAGTCTCTTCCAGCTGTATCCTTTTTCTGACAGATTCAGTCCCCGTTCTGCTCAACGGGTGCATACAGGAGGGTAGGGCTTTGCTTATCCAGAGGGATAATGAAACCATTGTGGGCTGGCAAAGGATGTGCGTTCTTGGGCCACCAACAACTCCAAGAACAGTGCTGCAACTTGCTCTAGAAGTCTTGGCTGAAATAACTGTAGCCTCCTGGGGCAGTTGATTCTTCCCGGACATACTGCTGTGGCGGGAATGGTCCGATAACCGGCACTGCTCCTGGCATCCTGGACATTGAAGGGAGCAAGAGGAAGCAAAGGAGAGAAAAAAAAAAGGGAGACAACGTCAGAAGTGCTCTGAAATCTGCCAGCTGCAATCACTGCTCAGCAGGCACGGCTGTCAGTGGAGCAACAGTCTACTGCAGCCAAGTCAACTTGCCAGAAAAGCTTCCAAGTGCATCCTTGCCCTCCGTGCGTGTGTGTAAACAGACACCTTCAGCACGGCAGAATTAGCTAGTGCACAGCTCAAGGACTGTTAGAGAGCTCCCATTACAAAGCAAGTACCCTGGCTCTCTTCAGGCTGCAGAAGCTGGCCTGGAACAGGACTGAATGGCTGAATCCAGAAGCAGCAAGGAAGGCCAAGGGGAGTTTTGTAGCTGCAAAAACTTGGACAACATCCACGTCCTTAAAGGGAACATTTATGCCTGTGTGTGGGGGACATCCTCAATGTTATCCTTCTAGAACGGGATGCTTGCTGTTCACTGATCTCGCTGCACTGTTCAAGAGCCAAAACTTTCCTGGGCTGTTATTCCACAGACAGGCAACAAAATATCCCAGTTTTCCTCTTGTCCTCTCTGGGAAACTTGGCTGGGAGCCTGTCCTCACTTCAGGTAGGGTTTCCTAATACCTCTTTCTTGTAAGAAGCTCCCTAACCAACCCAGGCTCATTACTGAGCCTCTTTTAGTGAAGGCTTTGAAATTAGAGATCTGAACTTTGACAGTGTCCAGAACAAGTATTTTTTGTATTAATCATCTGGCAGTTAAAATTTTTGAGATTAATAATATATGCAGGGGATGCCATTACTTAACCCACCAGTTGTGAGAGCGAGTTCAGGAATATAGTCCAGGTTTCTGGAGCGTGCTGAATACATGCCAAATTTTAAGACAAGCAACCCCAAGAGAGATTAGAATGGCAAGAGGATCTCCACTGAGACAGTCTTTAATTAAATTAAAATCTCAGTTGCTACAGGAATGGTGTTTAATGGGTGTCAGGGTGGATGCGCTCACTGCAAAGGTCCACACTGAGCTGAACCATCAAGAACCAAAAGCGGCTGCAGGGCACTTCTGCTTCCGCAGCGCCCCGGAGCTGTCTGCAGAGGGAGCTGCTGAAATGAACCGGCGTCAGGACAAACAAACACAAACCCTGTTGTTCTTGCAAGTCAGCTGGAAATATGCATTCAAAAACCTGCATTTTCAGTTATATTTAAGCCATTGATTTGAACAGCGAGGCTGGAAATACACTTAGACAAGAACATTACTTACTGATTCTTGTGTTTGAAGCCACTGATGTGAGCTTGGTACTGCTCTATGGAGTTCAGCACTATGTTACATGTGCTGCAGGGGTACCCCTTCCCAGCTGAAACAGACAGCAATGTTAGCACACACAGCTAGCCAACAACTGGGTGCCTGAGGTAGAAACAAGTGAGATAATCAATCACTTGATGTGTTAAACAACCGCTAAACAAAGGCAAATAGTAAGTCAATAGTCTGGCCAGGTGGGGAGGTCAGAGAATCCCACTACCCCACCATGTATCAGTCACTGCGAGGGAATCACTAAGCCAGAAGAGCTTTCCTGCTCAGAACATGGATTTGTTTATCTATAAAAAAACCAAGACACATTTCCTAAAAACAGTTCAGAATATCAGACATAGTGAAAGTCTCAGCATTAGGACACCAAACCTGATGCTATACTGCCTTTGCAACTCTGTTTCTCTCCCAAATTCCCACTTCTCCCAATCTGTACATCTCTTAACAAAAAACTTAATTTGTAAGCTCAGTGTGTTTCAATAAAAAAAGCAGCCAGAGGAGATGACACACAATGTCCAGTTCCACAATGCAGCATTCTGCTAAGCCTTGCTGAGGTGCCAACTGAGAACATTAAGCTCGATCCACAAGCAGTTTGGTTACAGTCAGTGTATCAGTTAACTGCAAAAAAAAAAAAAAAGACATTTTCCAACAATAGTTGTACAAGACAGATCAATGGTTTTGTGTAACGTGACAACTCCAGCTGGAATGAAAGTTCAGGAGGTCACAGATACCAAACAGGCAAGCATGGCAGCACAGCTCAGCCCAGGAGTCTCTAGCAGGGCAAAATCCTGACAGTTGTCCTGAAGACATTAAGTGCTCCTGAATTGTGGCTCACTGGGGAAGGGCTCTGCCTGGGAGTCGCACAAAAAAACCCCAAAAACATTTCCTTAAGGTGTAAGAGGAGACTCACCCCCGGGGTGCAGAGCAGCGTAATCAACGAGTGAGAAGTACAACACACGTAGCAGACAGTTCCCCACCTGGCTGCTGCACTTTGGAGAGATTTCAGACTCTAGTGGGACATTCAGCTCTCAAAACAGAGCTGGGCCTGGTCAGGAAAGACCAGAGGAGCCATTATAGCCTTCAGGTCTGCCTCCTCGCAGGATTGAGATCAAGATCCCTCTCTTGTAAAGCTGGCAAACAGGTGAGTACACAAACTTGTCCAAACTGCACTCCTACACCCCAAACTGGTGGTTCCTAGAGGAACCTGAAGCAGACAAACTCCTCTGTGTTGTGCTGTGAAGAACACGTCTTCACGTGCTGCCAGATGCATCCCAGCAGAGAGGTTTAGGGACAGGCATGGCTGTTAGCACGCAGAGATGGGCAGAGAGAGTGGGAGAAAACATCCCTGACTGCAGCCCATCACAGCCCTCACCTACAGCCCAGGCTCCAAAACCTTGTCTGAACAGCCAAGTGCCATGGAGATGTGTCCACAGGTACCTGGGTTCTGCCAGCACTTCGTAGGAGACATCACTCACACAGGCAAAGGGCCCTGCCCACCTCCCCAACCTGCCTGGTGCTCCTGCCACTGTCAGTGCCTGAGTCACACTAAAGTGAAACAATTCATCAGGCCCTGCTAATTAGGTAAAGAGCAGATGGGTAACACTAGATACCAAGCACCTTTTCCATCTCCCACACGACTACGCGATGTGGGAGAGAATATTACTTGGATAATTGAGCCTCATTTCTCTTAAGTGCTACTGGTATCTAAAGGTGGCCTGCAAAGAATTAGAATAATTAATCTTCTGCTTGTGTGGGTTTTTACGACAGAGAAAGAAGCCCTTGAAGATTTTAAGATTATCTCTCTGCTTATTATTTACCTCAAGCATCCAGCAGGTACTAGAATTCCTGGTCCAACAGAAGGCTGTTGGGAGGAACAAGGGAGTTTACTGTGAGCTCCTAATGCTTTCACTGGACTCCAAGGGCTTTCATCACGTAGAAGTGCTCATAAGCAGCAGATCATAAACCAAACGAGTTTTAACTGTCTGCCTAAAGTTCCTCCTTAATAGCTCTTTTTTTTTTCCCTTTTTTTTTCCCTCCTTCTTGCTTGCTCCAGAGAGAGTTGCATTAGTTCATCAGATGGAAATGCCCACACAGAGGCAGAAAGGCATTCAGGAGAAATCTCTCTGGCTTTCATGTGCTTTGAAGCAGCAGGTGCAGTTAAACCTATTTCTTCCATCTTTGGCTAGTCTCCTCTGAAGACATTTTTTAAGCATCAAATGCTACTTTTATCTTTCCATTTTGGATGCAATCCACCTAGACACAGGACTGGCCAAAATCCCTGGATTATCCATACAGAGAATAAAAAGGATATGTCCTCGATTAGACAACATTGCAGAACACAACCCAAAGCTTGTCACGAGTAGCTACAGCCTAAAACCTTTCTTGCTTCCAGGGGGTTACAAAAATCAACCACATCAATCTTACAGTGTATAATCAAGATCCCCATAATGAGCAATTCTCTCCTGCTCCCTCTGCACGGACTCTCTCGGTCAAAGACCTGTCAGACACATACAGTGGCTCTCCCACCCTGCTCTCCAGCTATTTATCAGCCTGCTGAGAACTCACCCATGAAGGACGATGCTGGTGCATCAGGGGTTCGGCCATAGTGTGCCATCAGCTTGTGTTTGGTCTCCTGCTTTCTGTGCTTCTTGCCTACATAATGCTGTTTTGCCATAAGGGGGTTGTTGAAAGTGGCATGGCAGAGGCTACAGAACTTGTCTGGGTCTGTAATGTCCTTGTTCTCTTCGTTAGAAGACACAGTAGAGGTGGGGAGGGTAGCAGGATGTTTCTGTGGGGGCACTGCTTCTGGAGGGTGAAACCAAACTCTTGGTCAGTCACAGAACTCGGAGGTAAAAAAAACCCAGTCATTTTAATTCCCCAAAACCTGCATTAAAGAAATCTAGCACACCTAAAGCCCAAACCTAGACAGAGAATGTAAGACACCCAGATAAATTCACATTGCTCCTACCTCTTCCCTTAACACTGCAGAATTGAAAGATGTGTGGTAAGACAAGTCAGAGTAGGCCAGAAAAACTTTCAGGGTTAAGAAAACCCCAACAGATTTGCCTGTTTCTCCTTAGTGGAGTTAAGATAGGCATGGCTGTATTCAAGAAACACTGGACATGAATGAGCTTCCACCTGCTGTTACCATCATCCAGCCAGAACACGGGTACAAGCCCCTGTGCAGCAAAGGCAAGGGGGTTTCTGGGAACACCGTGCAGCTGCAAGACTTGATCCTGAACCAAAGTCATGAGGAGTCTCGCCTGAGAAACAGCATGAAGGGAACTAGGTCAGATGGAGTTAATCCACACAGAGAAGCAGCTCTCCTGCCTGATGGAGAAACCTGCACCCCCTCATTATGGGGTACCAAAGACCAGAGTGAGGAATCTCCTAAGGACCAGAGAGCTCCTCTCACCCTGAAATGGAGGGTAGGCACCAGACTGCTCATGCATACATCCACCCCTTCCTGAAGGCTCTTCTCATACCCACAGGCAAGGGCTTCAAACAACAAAAACAACCCACGGGCCACCCTGACCCCGGAGCTGGCTTTGCTGTGCAAACAACCTGGCAAAGCTGTGAAGACACCCCAGGATGGACAGTTTCTTTCTGGAAGACCCCAGCCCAGAGCTACCCCAAGCTGCCATCCTCAGGTGCACTCAAAGGCTCTGTCCTGACCGGCCACAGCACCCCAGGCTCTCAGCTGCCCCCACCTGCCTTGGACAGAGGTTCTTCCTCCCCATCCACTGGGCCTTTCCATCTGCTAGCAAAGGGACAGGACACACAGACAGCTGCACTGGGTCAGGCCTGAGGTCCACCTGGGCTGTATCCCATCAGGAGAGCAGTCAATGGCAGGTGCCATGGGAAAAGCACAAAGGCAGGAAAAGCACAAACTGATGTTTTCCAGCTATACTCTCCCAGTCCCCAGCTCTCTGCAGCTCACAGGTGCCTGAACCTCAGAGGCTACATCTTTATACCTAAGCAGCCCTGACAAACTGGCCGTATCGAGTTCCCGCAGTGCCTGCAGCCCCGTAAGCTTTTAGCGAGCGTCGTACCCTGGGACAGGCATTTCCACAGCTTCACACCACGCTCCCAGGAGAGCAGCTCTTCTGGTCCCTGCACACAGGGATGGGACAACGCTGCTGCAAGCTGCATTTCTCCCAAAACAAAAACCCATCTGACCTTCAGCCAACGCCAACCCACTGGGCAGCAGCTGCGGGAGGCTGTGTCGCTGCGGGTGCGCGGCTGGCTTACTCCGTGGCACAGGAAAGAGAACACACATCCTCACAAGAGCTGATACTCGGGGTCCAGTGACACCTCGACTTTTTGTTTCGCTCAAACAGCCCCTCGGTACAACACGAAGGTGCTGCAGAGTCCTACCTTCCACTTTGGGTGACTGCTGCTTCATGTTCTTGGCATGAGTCTTGCCCAAGTAGTGAGACGTTGCCACAGCCGGAGAGGAAAAGGTCATGTTGCAGATGGGACAACACTTGTTCCTGTCCTCCCCACTGCTGCCTTCCTGCTTGCTGTCCTGTGCACACAGAACCACAGAGCGGCTGAGGTTGGGAGGGACCCCTTCAGGTCACCTCATCCAACCTTCTTGTCATGAGAAGGAACACGAAGGCTTGGGGGTCTGAGAAAACAAGGTGATCAGAGACATTTGGGTGTTAAGTTGAAGAAGGGTGACTGACTAGGACTGCCACGATGCAGTGTCATCCTCTCCTTCACTGGAGAGTGTCCTGGCACCAGATCACTTTTATTAATCCATTAGCGACCCACTCCAGGCAGAGGGGCAGTCCTGGCCTGTTTGGGTTAAGGACAAGGTTAAGTGTGCAGCTGCCAGAATTGGAACAGGCAGCATTTTACTCTGCAAGGTGTGAACCAAGCAACACAAACATCGTTATCAGCTGGGCCATCTGCAACACGACGCCAGCAGAGCAGGCAGCAGCAGCAATTTCTAAGCCTAACACTATGTGAGAAGGCATCTGCCTTTATCCCCCACCCCCCTCCGCAAACGTCGGAGAGTTGGGGATTAAAGCTGAAGCAATCATAAAAGGAGAATCTGTTTCCCAAATGAGTTACGGGGCAGACAGATGGCCGAGGGAATGTGGTGTCTTTACTGACCAACAGGCTCCAGCTACCGGCCGAGGAAACCTAAATAAGTAAAAAAAGAGATTGCCCTTGACAGAGAATTCCAGTAGATCACAGAATCACAGACTGGCTTGGAAGGGACCTTAAAGCTCATCCAGTTCCAACCCCCCTGTCAGCAGCAGGGACACCTTCCACCAGACCAGGTTGCTCAAAGCCTCATCCAGCCTGGCCTTCAACACTTCCTTGAATGCATCCACAACTTCTCTGGGCAACCTGTTCCAGTGTCTGACCACCCTCACAGCAAAGAATTTCTTCCTAATGTCTCATCTAAATCTCCCCTCTTCCAGTTTAAAACCATTACCCCTTGTTCTGTCACTCCCTGCCCTTGTAACAAGTCCCTCCCCAGCCTTCCTGGAGCCCCTTCAGGTACTGGGAGGCTGCTAGAAGGTCTCCCCGGATCCTTCTCTTTTCCAGGCTGAACAACTCCCTCAGCCTGTCCCCATAGCAGAGGTGCTCCAGCCCTTGGATCATCCTCCTGGCCTCCTCTGGACTTGCTCCAGTAGCTCCTTGTCCAGACAGTCAACCCAACGTGCTCTCTGTGACAGTAAAGGTTACACAATGATATCCCTGACAAGCTGTCACTCCTATTCCCTTTTCCCTGTCCTTTCAAGCAAGACTATCAACAAAAGGCAACAGGTGTCTGATTAAACAGGACAGACATCCTCACAGAGGCTGTTTAAACGGGGAGGGCAGCAGGATTGTGCTCGCCGAGGCTGGGCGCGGTGACACGCCTGCCACCGAGCTCCTCAGCTCTCACGACACCCTTTCTGAGGGTGTTTTCTTCACTTATTCACAAAGGTCCCCAGGCCGTACAACAGCCCTTAGCCCAGTCGGTTCCACTCCCACTCGGTTGGATTCAGACCCGAAGGTCTCTGTGCTCTCACAGAATATCACAGAATCACAGAATGTCAGGGA